GAATTAGTACAAATATGAATTAGTACAAATATGAATTAGTTCAAATACAAATTAGTTCAAATACGAATTAGTTCAAATACGAATTAGTACAAATAAGAATTAGTTCAAATACGAATTAGTTCAAATATGAATTAGTACAAATACAAATTAGTTCAAATACGAATAAGTACAATTACGAATTAGTACAAATATGAATTAGTTCAAATACAAATTAGTTCAAATACGAATTAGTTCAAATACGAATTAGTTCAAAGACGAATTAGTACAAATATGAATTAGTTCAAATACGAATTAGTACAAATATGAATTAGTTCAAATATGAATTAGTACAAAGACAAATTAGTACAGATATGAATTAGTACAAATACGAATTAGTTAAAATACAAATTTGTTCAAATACGAATTAGTTCAAATACAAATTAGTTCAAGTACAAATTAGTTAAAATACGAATTAGTTCAAATAAAAAATTAGTACAAAGACGAATTATTTCAAATACGACTTAGTACAAATATGAATTAGTTCAAATATGAATTAGTACAAAGATGAATTAGTACAAATATGAATTAGTTCAAATACAAATTAGTTCAAGTACAAATTAGTTCAAATACAAATTAGTTCAAATAAAAAATTAGTACAAAGACGAATTATTTCAAATACGACTTAGTACAAATATGAATTAGTTCAAATACGAATTAGTACAAAGACGAATTAGTACAAAGACGAATTAGTTCAAATACGAATTAGTACAAATCCGAATTAGTTCAAATACGAAGTAGTACAAATACGAATTAGTTCATATATGAATTAGTTCAAATAAGAATTTGTTCAAATACGAATTGGTACAAATACGAATTGGTACAAATACGAATTAGTTCAAATAAGAATAAAAATACTCCCATATGTGATGATGTTGGGGTAATTAACTTTAAAAACAAACTTTGGGATAAAACCATGCACTTAAACGTAAATTCATTTTATTTATGAAGTCTATACCCAAGTAAAAAAAGTGAGGAATTTCCCCAGATAGTAATAATAATAATAATAATAATAATAATAATAATAATAAAAATGATAATTTAATAAAAACAATGTAAAAATTGTTAAATGTAAAAAAATACTGAAATATAAATTAAAAGCCCAACTATTAAACCTAAATCCTTAAAACTAACTATTTGTAGACTGTGAGGAAACCCTGACTGAAGCTACGGGAACCCTGTCTCCTCCAATAGTTGATGGAAACTACACTGATCAAGTTCTCTGTGATTGGAGTCTAGAGACACAGGTATCAAAGGAGCAACTGAAGTATTGCGTTACAGGGGTTGGGTGTCGGAGAATATGTTACTTATGAAATAAGATAAGATGCTCCAAATATCAACATTTTAACATATTTTCCACTGTCTACTTACTAAAAAGTTCGATTGTTTAAAATTCTGTTGAGGGTTAAGACAGGTTTACTGTTTTATTATTTATGAAATATTTTTAATAATATTTGTTGATTTATTGACTTGTCAATTTATTTGGTCTTAAATTAATATATAAATTGATTAAACAGTTTTTATTGCTTGGTTAGAATATCCATAAAATTGATCAAATGTTGTGTATTATTGGATTAATTAGGAATTGATTAATTAATGATTTATTAGGTAGTGCCTTGATTAGGTAGGGATTGATTGATCTGTGATTAATTAAGTAGTGATTGATTAAGTTGGGATTGATTAAGTTAAGATTGATTACTTAGTGATTGATTAATTAGTACCTTGATCAATTTTTTATAGTTAATTAGTAATTGATTTAGCAGTGATTTGTTTATAGATTAATTTAAGTAATATTTATTTTAGGGTGACAAAACTATTGTGATGGAGATTCCTGAATATTATATTGAAGGAGCACCAGGGTGTCCATATGATAAACTGTCAATCAAAAGTAAGTACAAATAAGAAACACAAACATCCGCCTCCCCCCCCCCATCTACCCACTGGTCCTTACCCCCATCATTAAAAAATTAAAGGTCACTAATGGTAGATTGTTATCGATTATATTACCATTCTTTCTGTCAATGCTTTTGCGATTTTTCAAGTTCAATAAATTTCTGCTAGGTGGCTCTGGTGGGGATGTGAAGAACTCGAAGGCCTACTGTGGTGTTAAACGTGAACCTACGATGTTTGCTACATCTTTTCACAACACTCATGTTTACTTCAAGACTGACAGTCATATTACAGATAGGTTCCACTTTCTACAGATTCTTTTTATAAGCAGTAGTTTAACTAAACATGTCTAGTAGTTAATACTGGTGTGCAAGAAAACTTAGTTCAAATACGAATTAGTTCAAATACGAATTAGTTCAAATATGAATTAGTACAAATATGAATTAGTTCAAATACGAATTAGTTCAAATATGAATTAGTATTACGAGAATTTCCTCGGAATGGGTTACAAGAAATTCCTCGGACTTGGTTCCTCAGAATTGGTAACGAGAAATTCCTGGGAAAAGCTGTCGACATTTTCACCGGATTTTCCTGTGAAAGATTCCTGGGAATTTCCGCGGATTCCCAGGAAAGATTCCTGGGAATTTCCGCGGATTTTCCACAAAATTGTTACTTGGGTATCGACTATTTTTAGCATTGAAATCATTCTGTGTCATTCTTGCACAGCCCCGCCTTTTAACATTCTTGCACAGTCCTGCATTGTACGGAATTGTCATGACCCAGCCCTATCTAAATTCTATATCACGATTTGCAGAAAAGGCGATCATTTTCAGTTTTGGTTTAAATTTTTTCTAAAAGCAATCATTAAGGAAGAGTTGTTTTTAACGGTCATTAACGAAGGGTCGTTATAAAAACCGATCGTTTTTTCAAACGACCGTTTTTAAAAAACCAAAAACAATCGTTTTTTATTTATAGTTTTCAAAACGATATGATTGTTTTTCAAAAAAGCGGAATCGATCCATCCCTACCTGCAGGACAATTTTTAATCTTGCTAAAAATAATATGTTAATAAAATGTATATTTTAGAGGATTTAATCTAACCTACAGAACTATGGACTGCGGAGGAATCGTTCAGGTAACATTTTCGAAAATATTATTTTACTTTTGACACTTTTTTAGTATTGGCATATTAAGGACGCCAAAAGAATAATTATTGTCGCCTAACTTTAATAATTTTATATTAGGGGCCTCGAGAAGAATCATTATCCCCTAACTATAATAATTTTAAATTAGGGGCCACGAGAAGAATTATTATCCCCTAACTACCCTAATAGTTATCCAGACGAAGCCAGGTGACCATTGTTTTTAATCATAATTTAATTAAAATTATTTCTTTTTTATAAAATTTGTTCATAAGATCTAAATATTTATTCTTGTAAAGCTTTATGGGTTTACAAAAAAAAACTGTTATAAATGATAGCAATATTTCCAGATATTTAACAAATATTTATTAACTTTTGCAATAAGTTGCAACAGAAATAAATTTAGGTTCGATAAAATCTTTGATTTAAAGTAAAATTATAATTTAATAAATGTAAAAAGGATTTTCGAATTCTCATAAAAATTGGACATGGAGACCAAATTTGTGTATTTTAAAATAATTTTATCTGCTGATATACAGATGCATCTGGAGACTTCACTTTCCTGATTCAACACAGATAAAGGTGAAATTTAAAAAAAGAATTTTGAATTTTTTAAATTAGGTTTTTGTTTAAAGGTTAAGGACAGGTTTTTAAATGTTTTTTTTTATCTATTTATTTTATTTAAAGCTGGCCAAACGGCTGGACCGAATGCCCGGGAAGTAACATAGGCTAAATATATATCAACATTTTTTTTCTTCAAAAATTAAAAAAAAACTCAAAAATCTTTTTTTTTTATAAAAAAAGAAAAGTTCCGGGCACTTGAGCTAGTATGATATTTGTCTAATGGTTTTGTTATTTGAATTTGATATGATACTTTTAATTATATAACATTTAGTTTGATAGTTTGAATTTGATATTTATTTAGATAAGTTTGATGGATGTGAATTTAATATTTAGTTTGATATATGTTTGATGTTTTTTTAATAGTTTAATTTAATATTTACTTTAATAGTTTAATCTGAAATTGGATTTAATATGAAGTGTCATTGTTTGAAAATATTTAGTTTGATAGGTTTTAATTCATATTTGTTTGACAATTGAATTTGATATTTATTTTAATAGTTTGGTTTGATGCTTAGTTGATTTGTTGAATTTAGTTTGATATTTGGTATTTCTTATTTAGTTTGATATTGTGAGTTTGAACCTGGAATCATCTTGTCAAAATGATAATCTAACTATTTACAATGGAGGTAAGTGCAGATTTCCTTACAGATATTTTTCGCAAAGGAATAGAGTCTTTGCCACAAACTTTGATTTTTTAAATCTTTGCAACCAAATGTCAAAGATTTTAAACTATGAATTCTAAGTTGAAATGTTTTAGAATTACCGGTGTCATAAAAGTCTCAACTGTTGTGGGAAACCCTATTGTTGAATAAATCTTTTTTCTTCATCTTCAAAATGTTGGGCTTAAAGAAAGAAATATCTATAAAAATACAAAATAAAATTGATTTGGTCAAAGTCAAAAGTTCACTGACTTAAACAATTCTTCTGAATTTTGTCTTTTTTAGGCCGACAATTTTTTTCGATAATAATCTATATCTGCAGTGATCACATTATTTTCCTTCCTCATTCCATTCACAACTCAATCAATTTAAAATGGATTTCAAATTTTCTTTTTATTTTTCATTTTACTTAATTTTTTTATATTTTATCCCTGGCTTGACTTGATCATGATTGTTCCCAAGCTAATCTAATAGTCTATGACTAATGAGAAGGGAAAAAAATGTTATCCTTTTTTTAATTTGAGTGACCACATGGAATATAAAACTTGCTTTGTATAACTATAGTCAAGGGTTGAGTTATGATATTCTGAGATTATACAACAACTTTTTTATGTTCCTTGTTACGCTAGGGATAGAGTTGATTTGATAAATATGAAATAATAGCTCGACATAAAAGTTGTTTTCTATTTTCTACTTAGACCATTCAACATCTCGTGTGCTTTGGGGTAATATGTGGTAGATAGTTTAACCCTATTCCCGCTGGGGGGGGGGGTCAATTTGACCCCCCCCTGTAGGTTTTTTTACATAACTCAAAAAGTATTAGTCTGAGGCTGTTGAAATTTTCTGACTTTTCTTACATACCCAAAGCCCTCCCTTTAGGCCTAAAACCGGGCTTTAATACTAACTGCCTGAGTCCTCAGGCACACTGCCTGAATGACTGCTTTTGCCTGTAACAAACTAAATCTTTGTTTTGACCCACTTTCACTTATCAGATTTTGATAAAATTTAGCTTTTAGGAAAGCCTATGACATAAGAAAACAGATTGCACAAGTTTTGCAAACAACCTGTCAAAGGAAATTTGCACATTTTTAGTTTTTCTTGATTAAAAATCAGGTTATTTAAAATTTTGCAAAAATTTTTGCATATTTGAAATGGCATGGTCAAGGGCTTTTCAAAAATGTATAATTTGTCATTTTTTGGACAAATTTTTTTTTGCAAACATTTTTAATATAAAACTGGATTTTGCGATAAAAAATTCAATTTTCGCAAATTTGCAAATTTTTTTGCAGATTCTAAAAGTAGAGCACAAGAGCTTTCTAATGATGTATTATTTGTCATATTTGGACATAAAACATGGGATTTAGAGGGGGGGGCAAAATTGCCCCCCCCCAGCGTATCCTGGTTTTCAAGTACCCCAGCAGGGATTGGGTTAACTTGATATAAAATTTGATATATTGAATTAAACAAAAAATATAAATGTTTATTTTGTATTTTCTACTTAGATCATTCCACATCTCCTGTACTCTGGAGAGGTTGTGGTAGCTCTCCACCCAACACTCCCCTGATATCCATGTCCAACATGGTTGTGGTGGACTTCTCCTCCAACCTTGGTGGCTCTGGGTCCGGGTTCAGGATTGTTGCAGAGGAGATTTCCTCAGGGTGTGGAGGAATACTACACGGAATGGTGAGAACTTGGATTTTTACAAAATTATCAAAATATCTAATATCAAAGTGATGGCATCAACAGTATTTGTCTGATAACTATGAATTAGGGATTCATGTTTTTGTTTTTGAAAATTGATATTTTCATTTGCGGTTCCTCTGTCAAAAGTGACTTGTTTATCTCCATAAAAAGTACTGGAGGAATTAACAGAATTAAACACTTTTCGAACAAGAAAAACGACGTTATCATCCACAGTACCTGCTTTTTGTGGTTGTTTTAATTTATCTGCAGGTTTTAATATAAGCAATGTTTATATCCAACAGTTCCTAGCTCTGAATATTTATTTATATACAAAATAAAAACAAAATAAGATTTTCCTCTTTTTTGCGCAATATCATTTATGGAATGGACACTGGGCAGTGTTCACAGTTACACAACTGTATTACTGGAAAATTTAGTTGTTTATGTTAAAAATATTATTATTATAAATTAATGAATGTTTAATCAAGGAAGGGAATATATCCTCTCCTCGACAAGATGGGTCAACAAAATATCCAAACTCTGCAGAATGTATCTGGGAGATAAGGTAGAAAATATATCTGAACTCTGTCGAATATATCTGGGAGAAAAGATAGTAATATATTTACCTTTTCGGTAGTGAATATATCTGAACTCTGCAGAATATATCTGAGAGATAAGGTAGAAAATATATTTGAACTCTGTAGAATATATCTGGGAGATAAGGTATAAAACATATATCTGAACTCTGCAGAATATATCTGGAAGAAAAGGTAGAAAATATATCTGAACTTTGCAAAGTATATCTGGGAGATAAGGTAGAAAATATATCTGAACTCTGCAGAATATATCTGTGAGATACAGTAGAAAATATATCTGAACTCTGCAGAATATATCTGGGAGATAAGGTAGAAAATATATCTGAACTCTGTCGAATATATCTGGGAGAAAAGATAGTAAATATGTTTAATTTTTCTGCATGGTTTATCTTGGTAATAAGGTAGAAAATAAATCTGAACTCTGCAGAATATATCTGGAAAATAAGGTAGAAAATATATCTGAATTCTGCAGAATATATCTGGGAGATAAGGTAGAAAATATATCTGAACTCTGCAGAATATATCTGGGAGATAAGGTAGAAAATATATCTGAACTCTGCAGAATATATCTGTAAGATAAGGAAGAAACAATATATCTGAACTCTGCAGAATATATCTGTAAGATAAGGAAGAAACTATATCTAAACTCTGCAGAATATATCTGGGAGATAAGGTCGAAAATATATCTGAACTCTGCAGAATATATCTGGGAGATAAGGAAGAAAATATAACTGAACTCTGCAGAATATATCTGGGAAATAAGGTAGAAAATATATCTGAACTATGCAGAATATGTCTGGGAAATAAGGTAGAAAATATATCTGAACTCTGCAGAATATATCTAGGAGATAAGGTAGAAAATGTATCTGAACTCTGAAAAATTAGAAATAAACATGCAATACAGTTTGTAGCAATTAAATGTGTTATATTTAAATGTTTAGATCAGATCCTGGTTACTCAATGAATTTTGATTTTATCGGCAGATTTGATCTAGAACAATCGCAAGGTAATTTTCAAACTTTAATCTTTATTTTCTGGAATTGTCGCATATTGTAAAATCATTAATCCAGAAGACATTAGATTTTAGTTTTCTTTGATGAAGATAATTCTTTGTATCTTTTATAATCTTGAAAGCATAAAAAAGGAAGACCACATTTTAAAAATTCCAAGAACGTTTCAAAGTTTTCTTTTGTAAAATTATATTCACGAATGAATGCCGAAATTCTAATTCTTTACACTTAGCACATGATTATTGATTTACGTAGATTTCGTTTTTTGTTTTAATAATATTTTCCTCAATCTTGACATCTGGTCAAAATCATCCTTGAACCAATGTTTGGTGCTATACAGTACAGCATTTCACAGTTATTAAATATACATAGTGTATTCTAAATAGAATTATATTTGAAAGGAATCCCCCCCCCCCACAAAATCCGCACAATATGTTCAGCCGTTAGGACGTTTATTTGATAGAGACGAAAAGAAATAAATTGTCTAGGTTGTATAAATGACTATGTCGAAGTACAGCACTGGGATCCACAGAATAACAGGTACAGCTGTAAACTGTAGACTGTAGACTGTAGACTGTAGACTGTAGACTGTAGACTGTAGACTGTAGACTGTAGACTGTAGACTGTAGACTGTAGACTGTAGCTGTAGACTGTAGACTGTAGACTGTAGACTGTAGACTGTAGACTGTAGACTGTAGACTGTAGACTGTAGACTGTAGACTGTAGACATTAAAAGAAGTAAAGGGACTGAGATTTCGCAAATCGTTAATATTTTAAATTATGAATTTTGTCAGATCAAAGAATCTAAGTTTGAAATAATAAAAGTTTACACCATTAGGTTGGAAAGATTAAGGGATTAAAAAATTGGGACATTTCAGTTTTTGGAAAAAAATTTTAAAGAACACCTAAAGCAGACTTAAAGCAGCAACAGATCAGTTTATTTGAGATTTATTATTTTTCACTTCCAGACGTTGATATATATATTAGTTGTCCATTTTTATTAAAACTGTTTTTAAGATGGGTTTCATCTAGCGCCAAGCTTTGTGGAAGACTAACTCCGGATAATGTGACTGTTCCTGAAAATCTAGCCAGGTAATATTTTACTTTATAAAGGGACTGTAAACGTTATTTTAAGTGAACCTCCCTTTATAAAGTTGCACTTCAGATTCAACACGGTCCCCTTTAAGCTGATAAGAATTACAGATATATCCTTATTTTTCTAACTGAAAACTAAGTGTCAGAAAAAAAAGAAGTGCACTCGATTTTCCCGTCATCTCATTTCAATATTAATCCTCTTCATCGATATAAATAAGACATGATTTTACAAATAGAGGGTTACATGAAATTATGTCTTAATTTCGTTTATCCTATTCCCAATATTTCGCAAATTTTTTTGATTATATAAATAGGCATGGTCAAGGATTAGAATAAATTTACAATTTTTAATGTGGACATTTTTCACACGTTTTTGGATTTGACAAAAAATTTGTTCAGGAGTATTATAAAAATTTGTAAGATTTTGGAAAAAGTACAGCCTTTGAATTTATTCTTCGTTATTCCAGAGTTATTTTCCACTCCAATGAAAATACGAACGGAGATGGATTTCAGTTACACTGGAAGCTTGAGTGCGGAGGGATATTCACCTCAGCTGTGGGTCAGCTCAGTTCCCCTGGCTACCCAGCTGGGTATGGACCTGGCTTGACCTGCAAGTATACGATACAAGCTCCAGAACTAGATTACGTCGTGGCAACCTTTGATGATTTATTCCAACTAGAGAACGGAAGTATGTTATTTTTTAAATCATCTATATATATAAATATAGTTGTAATCTCTGTTTGTTTGTTTGTATGTCCGATCATAACTCATGGACCCTTTGGTTGGGGAACTCGGGAGAACCAAGGGAATTTCCTTAGTTTTGTTTAGAGATTCTAACTTGAGTGGGTCCACGTTAAAGGAAAAAATAGCTAAAATTTAGACGCACGACCAAGCGCGGGTAAATGGCGGGAATAACTATGAGTACCTCGGCAACGTGGTTTCTCAAGCTTGTTATTAATATATTTATTAATCACATTATCATTATTAAAACTACTTTTATTAGTCATTGATATCAATATTACTGTTGTTATAATTTTTTTTATGTAATCAAATAATTATCATCATAATATAATATTTTTTTCTTATTATATTAAGGAGGAGGAGCATGCATCTATGACTCCCTAACTCTAAAAGAGGTTCCCAGTAATATATCTAAAGGAGTATATTGTGGAGAAGATAAGCCTGTAGCTATATCTGCAAGGAATAGGATTTGAATTATTATCATAATTTAGAAAATTAAACATTATTTCTAATTATTGTATGATAAAACAAAATAATGAAAAATCTTTATTTTCTTTGTCTCATAATTTAATTCGTTATCCTTGTCTGAATCAGAGGTAACCTGGAGTTAACTTTCAAAACAGATTCCACAGTACAGAAATCAGGATTCAGGTAGTTTATAGTTAACCTTTCAACTTTCAGGTAGACAGTCAACCTTTTAACTCCTGCTGTCAGGTAGACAGTTCACCTTTCAACACCTGCTGTCAGGTAGACAATCAACCTTTTAACTCCTACTATCAGGTAGATAGTCAACCTTTCAACTCCTTCTGTCAGGTGGACAGTCAACCTCTCAACTCCTGCTGTCAGGTGGACAGTCAATCTTTCAACTCTTGCTGTCAGGTGGACAGTCAACCTGTTAACTCTTGCTGTCAGGTAGACAGTCAACCTTTTGAACTCCTGCTGTCAGGAAGACAATCAACCTGTCAACTCCTGCTGTCAGGTAGACAGTTAACCTTTAAACTCCTGCTTTCATATTGACAGTAAAACTGTTAAATCTGTACTGTCCTAGGAAGCCTAAGCTATGCCATAAGTGTAAAGGGAATAACACTGTTTAGAAAAGTATACACTCCCGTGTACAACTGTACAATTGTAAAACTTTACAAATGTTTAGAATGACCTAGCTGTCAAAGTGATTTAATTTATTCACTTTGCCTAGCTGTGCCAAGAGTATGAAGAAATATGACTATCCACTTTAGTAAACACTCTCTAAAGCCCGAAACTTAAGACCAAGGATTTAATGCAAGGAAAGTTATTTCAGAGGTGTACGCATCTTTTGTACTGCAGTGTACTGTCACTAGGCGGTAATGTAAACACAAGACGGATATCGAAGCCTGACATGGGATCCATCTTTCACATAAATAATCAATAAAATATTCTGTTCATAGGAAACTATTATGTGAATTATCAAAATTATCAAAATTCAATGCTTTTAACCTCCTCGGATACTAAACAAACACTGAGGCATCTATTCTTGTATACAAATTCCGCCCAAACAGAACTGGTTTGAATATATACGCGCAGAGTATACGCAAATGCAATTAACTTTCCTTGCATTACATTCTTGCATAAGACAGAGTATCGTAATGAAACCTGCAGAGTATCAGAAACACGGTTTAATGAATGCTGTCGAGCAGTTTTGTAGATACCAATATGCATAGACCACAAAAAGGAAACTTGATAGTTTTGGCTACGTTCAAGAATACTCTCTTAAATTTCCGGTTTAGAGCCCTAAACTTAAATTCCAGCTCTGTAGGCTTCACTGTACAACTGTAGAACTGTGCAAATGTTTAGGATGACCTGGCTACTACATGAGTGTGGTGGGAATATGACTGAAGAAGGAAATATACAGTCCCCTGTACATCCTGATAATTACTTCCATAATACAAACTGTACTTGGAGTATACAAGCACCAAGAGATCAGGCAGTAGAGATCAAGTAAGTACATTGATATATAGTTGTAATCTTTGTTTGTCTGTTTGTTTTTCCGATCATAAGTCAGGGACCCCTGGACTGATTTGCATCAAATTTTGATTGGGGAGCTCGGGAGACCCATGGGAATATTCTTAGCATGATTTTGACATTCTATGTTGAGTATGTTCACTTTTAACGGAAAAAATAGTTAAAATCGTAATTTACGACAAAAGGCGGGTAAACGGTTGGACTAACTATGACATCCCTGGGCCACGCTGGGTTCCCAAGCTCTATTAAATTTAAATTGTAATTACTGATGGGCTTGTATTGATAACCCTTTGTTAGACGTTTTAAGTGCTCCACGCAGATGTAAGTTATTTAACACATTGCAAAATTTAATTAACTAAATAAGTTTGCTTTTAGAACATTACACGAATTTATGTTTCTCTGGTTAAAGATATTAGACAAAGCAATTTTTCAAAATGGAAAATAAAAAACTATTTTAAATAATCGTTTTAAAAAATCGTTTTAGTGAATATCTTTGGTCAGAGTAAAAATTTTGCAAAATGTAATATAAGCAAACTTGTCTGGCATGCTATTTCGGAATAGAATTTTAGATTCTAGTTCAACCTCTGAAAAGTCTAAAAACTTTGTTTATTTAAAAACGATGCAGCCCATCAGTAAATTTGTAATGACGGGTTGTAACCAACGAGGTTATATTGTATAGAGTGATGATGTACGCTAATCCTTTACTAATTATATAGGCCATCAACTATACCGAGAGCAGACTGCATATTTGTTTATTATAAGTTGATTCTGGCCTAACCAATAGAATATCATTGTTAGTAAACAGTTGTAAGTGTACAGTACAGATAACTGAACATACAGGTAGAGAACTATCATTCCCCCTGGTTGTCACACATTATATTTGACGGTATATCCCGTATTAGAGTATAAACAATAACAGAATTTCTATAATGAATGTTGCCTTGAAATTTATGTATTTTTCTAAGCTCTGAAAGGAAAGCTTCAAAGCACATGAATTTCGCGAGAAATGGATGTTTGATGGTGTCTTGTACAGTATTTTCATGTATAGTCTGTATGTGTTTGGTACAGCTTGCTCTTTAGTTACTGTAAAGTCTGTGCTTGAAATGAACCGGAGGAATTATAGTGAAAGGGATAGCTGTAATTCACTAAAATATAATAAAAACAATTTAAATCTATTCTTTTTTGTAAAAATAAATAAATAGTCATTATTTGAACCAGATCCAAAAAAAGATTGCAACTTTAATTACATTTAGGTTTGATATGCTAGAGTTAGAGCCTCATAGAGATTGCAACTATGATTACGTTGCTGTATTTGAAGGAGCCTTTATCAATAACTCGAGGTATCAAAACATTCTTTATCAATAACTCGAGGTATTAAAACATTCTTTATCAATAACTCGAGGTATTAAAACATTCTTTATCAATAACTCGAGGTATTAAAACATTCTTTATCAATAGCTCGAGGTATTAAAACATTCTTTATCAATAGCTCGAGGTATTAAAACACATTCTTTATCAATAACTCGAGGTATTAAAACATTCTTTATCAATAACTCGAGGTATTAAAACATTCTTTATCAATAACTCGAGGTATTAAAACCCCTTCCCTCTAGATTAATAATTTCCCTCCTAGATTGATAATTTCCCCCCTCTAGATTGATAATTTCCCTCCTCTAGATTGATAATTTCCCCTCTCTAGATTGATAATTTCCCTCCTCTAGATTGATAATTTCCCCCTCTAGATTGATAATTTCCCTCCTCAAGATTGATAATTTCCCTTCTCTAGATTGATAATTTCCCCCTCTAGATTGATAATTTCCCTCCTCTAGATTGATAATTTCCCTCCTCTAGATTGATAATTTCCCTTCTCTAGATTGATAATTTCCCCCCTCTAGATTGATAATTTCCCTCCTCTAGATTGATAATTTCCCTCCTCTAGATTGATAATTTCCCCCCCTATAGATTGATAATTTCCCCTCTCTAGATTGATAATTTCCCCCCTCTAGAATGATAATTTCCCCCCTCTAGATTGATAATTTCCCCCCTCTAGATTGATAATTTCCCCCCTCTATAGATTGATAATTTCCCTCCTCTAGATTGATAATTTTCCCCTCTAGATTGATAATTTCCCTCCTCTAGATTGATAATTTCCCCCCTCTAGATTGATAATTTCCCTCCTCTAGATTGATAATTTCCCTTCTCTAGATTGATAATTTACCCCCTCTAGATTGATTGGTAAATACTGTGGTAATCAAACCACTGTGCCTCCAATCCTGAAGTCGACTGGAAACCTTGTCACATTACAGTTTAAAACAGATAGAACAATCAGCTATGGAGGGTTCAGGGTAAGAATAATAAATCTATTTTTTGTTGCAAATTAGAATATTAAATCTCTTTCCAGCAATTTATTCAAGTTCATTTTGTATTCGTTCGAAAATCGTACACTCCCACCGCATTTGATTGCCAAAAGATCTTTAGAATACGTTTGGAATACTTTTGGAATACTTGTGGAATACTTTTGGAATACTTTTGGAATACTTTTGGAATACTTTTGAAATACTTTTGGAATACCTTTGGAATACTTTTGGAATACTTTTGGAATACTTTTGAATACTTTTGGAATACTTACTTTTGAAATACTTTTGGAATACTTTTGGAATTTGGAATACTTTTGGAATACTTTTGGAATAATTTCAAGGAATACTTTTGGAATACTTTTGGAATACTTTTGGAATACTTTTGGAATACTTTTGGAATAATTTCAAGGAATACTTTTGGAATACTTTTGGAATACTTTTGGAATACTTTTGGAATACTTTTGGCCTGAAAGGAGTGTAAAGTGGCGCTCAATTGCTAAAGTGGCATGTTCGACTCACAACGGTACCCTTCTAGCTGTTATTTTCATTTTTCTCTATAATTGACTTGCGCGCGCATCTCTTGCTTCAGAAACATTTGAGAAATTATTATTCAATTTTATTGTTAAAAACTTATTTTCAAGTCTCCATTCCGAATCTTTATGTCAAACAATGTAAACCAATTTTGCCTAGAAAACATCCAGTTTTAAAGCAATTGAATGAAAGTTGTAATAATATCTTTTTGAACATAAACTAGTGTCATCAACTAGCGTTTCTACCACCAAACAGAGCTTAATGTCAAAGTTGTCAAATTGAAGTTAAATTCCATTTTAACTCAAATCTCTGTATGTTGGGTGTAAATAATACCTAGTCTCTAAATTAAGCGAAGTTATAATTCGTAAATATTTAAATCTAACGTATAATTTAGTTTAGTTTCACGTGGTTTATATTATATAATAAGAAGCAAAATAATGTTGGCCTGGATTTAAAGGGACTGTAAGCGTAATTTCAAGTGAACCTTTACACAAGGATTGCAATGCCTGATTAATAAAGGAACGCTTGAAATCTATTCAAAGACATGCAAAGATGCGGTCGTTTTTCTAGGTTTAAAGTATTTAGTTTCAAAAACTCCAATATGGTTTCCTACACTAGTTAAAAAACGAAATTCACTTTTGTAGAGAAATCACAATTGAAAATAATCAGTTCTTAAACAATTAGACATTGTTATCTAATTCTAATTAATGCTTGATCAGGCAAAGCTTGAAGGGTACCGTTGTGAATCGAGCATTATCATTTTCACTTAAAATTACGCTGACAGTCCCTTTAATTGTATTTATTATGCACGCAGTCCCTTTAATTGTATTTATTATGCAGGCAGTCACCAGGTTTACTTATGGAGCAAACCAAGGTTGTGGAGGGAAAGTTAACACAACAACAGGTTTAAATTCAAAACAACATTTTTCAAAATAGAGGGTTACCCTCAAATGATGAGGCTTTAATGACGACCTGAAAATCTTAAAATACGACGATCCAAAGGTTTAGTTTGACCTTGATGATACAGTTAAACCCTAAATGAGCCATACATCGAAAGTATTTATCAAATGTCGTCTTGACAATTTTTAAATGGGTTTTATACTATTTTACGTAAATCTCAGTATTTGCGAAAATAAAAAAATAGCCATGAAAATGTAAGAACAGTTTTAAAGAGCTCCATATAATCATTTTAATAAAAAACTAAATATGTGCAACTTCAGAAAGTGAAATTTGATGTATTCTTTCAATGTATGGCTTATTTAGGGTTTAACTATAGTTTTTAACTAAAAATAGAAAATAATAAATTCCGTACAGTCGTCTCTTGAAGTCGAATCCTTTACGGGAAACTCTGTATGATATTTTATATTATAACAGCATAAATTTTAATTCCGAAAAATTTGAAGATAAAACCCACTGTTGGATTCATGCATCGTATTTTTCGGTTTACAGGGTGTCTCACGAAACATAAAATTTATTGAATAGTTTAAAATGTCTTCTTCTATTATTTGTTAAGTTGCTTGATACCAAAGAGAATAAAATAAAACTATATTTGAGTAAAAAATTTGTTTAACGAAATAAGCTGCAAAAAGTATTTAATATTTAATACAGTATGAACATTGAAGAAGCCATTTCAAACTATTCTCCAACTGTCATGTTTCGTGGTATCTCTTGTTTTCGTTTCAATTTTACTCTGTAATACAGAGGATTTAGAAATAAATTTTTTATTTTGATGTATCGTGTATGCATGTTTAGGGCGTCAAGAAATTTCCTCTTTGGACGCAAATGCAGATGGATTATACGAACCAAATCTAAACTGCCATTGGACCGTAGTTGGAGAAGATTTTAAAAATATTAAACTCAGGTTAATCTTTTTTTTCGACAACCACCCACCCTTCTCCCCACTTCCCTCCATACCCCCCACCCTTATGGATAGGGCAAATGGGAACATAGACACTTTAAACTTTAAAATCTTTAAAATTTAGCTTTAACCCCCCTAACTCTTCTATTTCTCTCTCCTTTTAAAAACAGCAACCTCAGTTACTATCCATCTATCTACATTCTACAGTGGCCGAATTTAAAGAATTTGAGCGGCGGTTTAAATTTAAGCCGCGGCTTAAATATGGTTGGTTCCACTTAAAATTGTATCAAATGTTTCAAGATTTAAGCCGGCGCTTAATTTAAACCGGGTTTTGGCGGATTTTGGCGGATTTAAACCGCGGCTCAAATTCTTTAAATTCCATCTCAGTTCTCATATAAATTCAGACCCATGATGTCTTCCCATTTTCAAGTGTGGAACATTGCTCAGACCAAATGATTTAGGGGGGAAGAGATATTTATCAATGCAATTTTTGAATACTTAAAAATCTGAGTTTAGGTTTACCTCCTTTGATTTGGAGTTGAGAGAGAACGGTTCTAACCCTGAGTGCTGGGACTATGTGGAGGTATTATTCATCAGTTAAAAAAAATTTAAAGGGAATGATATGCTTATTTTTTCTTTATCAAGGTTCGAGATGGAACAGGACCCTTTTCCCCTTTGATCGGAAGATATTGCGGAAATAGTTCCCCAGGGGATCTCTCAGCTTCATCTAACTTTATGTGGATTAAATTCTTCTCAGGTAGCTGAAGATTATAAAAATGATTGTCGTCTTAGGTTTTTTAGAATTTAAATAATTAACTTTTAGCTTGATAGTTTATGATAGATAAATCTGATGGAAAATCTTTTGTTTTGTTTAGCGCTTAGAACTTGATTTACACTGCACACACTTTTGAATTACGGCATAACTCCTGATATCAGGGTGAAGTTGTCCATGCCTTGCACCAAGAAGGTATTCGTACATGATAAGCAACCTTCAAGGTTTAACTGTCCTGATTTAGGAATTTTTGTGTAAAGCAGATTTAATCTTGAACGCCAAATCTCGATATCACAATGATTTTAAATTCAAGGATATTACTAGATCCATCAATTCAAGATATCCTTGCAGGGTATGAACACTACGAGATATTGATGATCATTTAAATGAATCCTTAGTTTTTCAAACAATGGTGATCAATCTGCTTGATTCGTACAGAAGTTTTGACTTAAGGAGAAAATGAATCTTCTGAACGCTGAAGTCAAGGTTTAAGATGTATCTTTGTAAAAGACACATTTTTATATAAAACAATTACAAGTTACAAAATCAGTGGTAAAACAATTAAAGCTGCAAAATCAGGGACAATCCTGCTTTGAATTGGTGTTTGTGCAAACTGCAAACCCTTGTAGTTAAACCCTTCAATCAAATCTTTCTAATTCGTTCTACTATATTCGTTAAAGTGTAAGAATTGGCTTTGTTTCTATGCATATTAAACCAATCAACTGTTTCCTTGGTTTATTTGTTTATTATTTTTTATTATTGTCTTCTCTTTCTGCCAGTTTATCCGACAGGAAGGATAAAATTATATTTTCAAGAATCCGAAGAAAATTATTTTTGATTTTATCCTAATTTAATTTTTCTATCGCCAAAATAGGTTGATTTAACTTCCTCTAAGGTTTCTATGATATATCATTATAAGTAAACAGTTGTAAGTGTACAGTTCAGCTCACTGAGCTCTAAGAACTACAATCCCCCCTAGCAAACCCTCTTTAACTATCCTAGATGGAACTAACAGTAGAGCCGGGTTTACAGCTGTTCTAACCTCTGAGACCCCGCTGTGTGGAACCCATACTGTACTCAATGCTACACAAGAACCAAATATAATTACTTCACCAAGTTTTGGATCGTATCCTATCAATGCCAGGCAACATTCTATTTTGATCATTTCTAAGGGGGACTTATAAACGTAACCCTCCATGCAGAGATGACAATGCCAGATTTGCAACGGTACCCTTGAAAGGGTCCCATTGTAAATCTGGCATGCCACTTTTGCATGGAGGGTTACTTGAATTACGCTTAAAATCTTTAAAAATAAACTCTTAGAGCCATTTATTTAGAACTTAAATTGTTTAGGTGTATTTGGACTATTTCAGCGGCACCTAGAACCACAATTCAAATAAGGTAAATATCTGTAATACAAATCCACCAACAGTTATCTTAAATAATGTATATATCTGTAATACAAATCCACCAACAGTTATTTTCAATAAGGTATATAATATCTGTAACATAAATCTACCAACAGTTATCTTCAATAAGGTAAAATATCTGTAATACAAATCTACCAACAGTTATCTTCAATGTAATTAAACAATAATAAACAATATGTAATTACCCTTTTTTTCCTTTCCCTTACCTTTTTTTCGAATTGGGAGAAATATTCAATTACAACCTCTAATTTTGGGGGTTTTTAAATATTTTCTCCTGAAACACCTAATTTGGTATGTTATGTTATATTTCTTAAATAAATAATTATATACTTACTGCACACAGTGATCTGTTTATAGTGCTTTTATTCAACAAAAATAAGACTTTAATGTCGAGCTGACACTCTTTCGATAGATTTCAGAAAAATTTGCCCTGTAACTTACAAATTGTAACATTTTGCCTTGGTAACATATTGCCTTATAAAATTTTGCCTTTTAACATTTTGCTTTGATCACATTTCGCCTTGTAACAATTTGCCTTGGTAACATATTGCCTTGTAAAATTTTGCCTTTTAACATTTTGCTTTGATCACATTTCGCCTTGTAACAATTTGCCTTGGTAACATATTGCCTTGTAAAATTTTGCCTTTTAATATTTTGCTTTGATCATATTTCACCTTGTAACAATTTGCCTTGATCACATTTTGCCTTTTAACATTTTGCTTTGTTTATATATTACCTTGTAACATTTTGCCTTGATAACATTCATTTTGCAAACATGTACTAACTATTGACTTAAAAAATTTTCAAAATTCGTAAATTGGCTTTGATAGTTCCATAGTTGGAAGGAATTAATTAACTTCAACTTCTAGAAGTTTATTATACTATTTAGGAACAATATATATATAGTGAGACAGGAACAAGAAAACGACATTTAATCAATCTGATTTGTGCTTGATGTTGTTGTAAAGTTAATATAGATAAAGATAAACGAGACTATTTAACATCTGTACATTTGTCTCTGTTAAGTCTCGCTCTTTTTTGGTTAACCCTGCTTACTCCAGTTTGCTAACGGGTTACAAAGATTTTAAAAACTCAGTTCCTTAATTTTGAGGCCAACGTTTGAAATTCAGACATTCCGGCGCGCGCACTTCCAAAAACCTTTCTTGAGGTTCTGTGAGAATTTTGTCCCTATTGTTTATTGAAAACTTGAAAACCAACCAAACACCAACAGAAAATTAAATATGTTCAAATCAGAATTTATTAATAACCATTTTTAAACCAGGTTTCTCCTGATGGATTTAGAGGAGAGTACTCGGTGTAGAAAGGATAAAGTGGTTCTAGAAGATGCTGGATATACAGATAATTCACTAGCAAACCAGGTGCAGTTATTTAATGATATTTTTTAAAAGAGATTTTTTTGTCCCCAGGACATGATCGGGTTGTTACGATCAAATCTCGGAATTTTTTCTATTGCGAAAGTTTGGTGTTGGTGTTTGGTCTGGGTTTTTATATTGATCTACCAGGGTTTGTAATCTGGCAGCACATTCATCCATCCACGCTTCATTCATTCTGAGAAGAGGGTTGACAAGATTCCAGCTGCCTAAGATTCTTCTTAGGCCTGAGAATATAGAGTGCAGGAATCCTTCTGATATACTGGAATGAGGCCCGGGTGCCGTACTGATAGGAAACATCACACTCATTGCTCCCTAACATCTGTAAGCCCGGATTGGATACCCCCAGGTACCTATAGCTGGAAACCATAGACTCTCCCTGCTTGTCCACCATTCCTCTCTTCATCGTCATTCACTTGGATCAATCCCACTTGAAGCTTCTTTCTTGTTGAGCAGAAAGCACGCACCCTTTCGCTGCGAGAGTTGTTGACAGCTGCCCCTCTGTCCTCCTACATCCGTCAGGTGGTCATAACTGCTAAACCAGATGTCGGCTTCAGATGTTTTTGAAACCACAGGTTTGTGTGGAGTACGGGAATCGAACCCGTGAACACCAGTCTGGACACCAATCCAGTTACTAGCTGTGGACAAGTGTGCTTAACTTCAGTGATCTAACGAGAACTGGTGTCGCACACTCTCCATCCCACCCCACATTAAACTATTAATAATAATAATCCATGGCTGAGTTCTCGTCAAAAATAATATTTATATTATAACCTTTAAAGTGAAGATAGGTTCAGTCTCAACAATTTTTATACAGGGTCGATTTTAAGGGATACAACGCCTTGGGCTTTGATTTTACCGCTCATAACTCATTTATACTTTTTGGTAGCCCTTTACATGTACATTTTGGCACTATAGAGCACAATTGTCGTTATGTTTGGTTTTAAATAAGTAATCGGAAAAATTCTCATAGAGCAGCGTGTTCTATAAACAACAGTACCTTTTAAACCTTTGACTGATTAAGATTGTCGGACTTATCTTTATTAATCTACAGAAACTATTATAATAGTTGAACTCTTTGTATCTGTCAGAGGCATATTCTGGGGGCAAACATTTTGTATTGGACAGGGACTGTTTTCTGAAAATTGAATATCACAATAAATTATCTAAAAAAATTTTGACATTTTAAAACTTTAAAATAACAAATTCACATATTTCACTGCGGCAAAAATCTTCTCTGATAATTAAAAAAATAAACCGCGCGAAATTTAAAATTAAACAATATCATAAAACATACATAATAAAAAGATCCATATACATTAAACAATAAACATGTACAAGAGGGGGCCAGGGGGGGAGGTGCTTAGTCATTGCTCAGTCCAATAGCTATAGTGGGAAAGAGGGGGAGGTGCTTAGTCATTGCTCAGTCCAATAGCTATAGTGGGAAAGAGGGGGAGGGCTCAGCAACCGCTGGGGGCGGAAACCCCCCTGAAAATCAAAGCCTCCACTTTTCCAGGGGAGGACTGCGCCCCCCAAGCCCCCCCCCCCCTAAATACGTCTCTGGCTCTCTGTTCTGATAAACAGACAAAGATTTAAAGGAAACCGTTATAAATCAGGCAGTGTCCTCTTTGCATGGAGGCTCAATTAAATTACGCTTACAGCCCAGCACCTTTCAACAAAATAAACCAGCGCATTTTTCCACAATGGTTGGAATTTTCTAGTTTAATTTCTTCTTTTTAATAAAGTATATTTAATTTTCATTTTTAAAGATTTCAATTTTGTACCTTAACGACCTCATATATGTTAGGAGGCTGGAGGTGCTCTTGTACTGTCCTCAGCCTCAAGCAGAGAAGCTGACTATAGATGGAGAACTGTAAGTTTGCCCTTTTTCACAATTTTTTTTCTTTTTTTTGTGTCAAATTCTAATTCTTTTAATATAAACCTTTTTAAAATGGAAAATACTTTGTACTTTAATGTTTAGCTGTACTTGAAGCAAAGAGTAGAATACTGTGGTTCACAAACTCCTCCAGAGTTTACATCTATCGGAGATACAGTCAAGATATCTTTCATCTCAGATGGGTCAATCACAAGATCAGGTATACAGTCAAGATATCTTTCATCTCAGATGGGTCAATCACAAGATCAGGTATACAGTCAAGATATCTTTCATCTCAGACGGATCAATCACAAGATCAGGTACATTTGTTGAGCTAAAGGCCTCTATGGAAGACGAAGACGACCTTGCAGTGACGTAAGATCATTTGTTTTGATTAACAACATTGTATTTCCACAAGCCAAAATATCAGACTTTCTCAGAAGTGTATTTGAATTAAAAGGGCAGTTTAACTTTCTTGCTGGATGATTTATTTCTCTATAATAAAGTACAAGATATATTCTACATACAATACGGTGGTTAACAAGATATATTCTACATACAATACGGTGGTTAACAAGATATATTCTACATACAATACGGTGGTTAACAAGATATATTCTACATACAATACGGTGGTTAACAAGATATATTCTACATACAATACGGTGGTTAACAAGATATATTCTACATACAATACGGTGGTTAACAAGATATATTCTACATACAATACGGTGGTTAACAAGATATATTCTACATACAATACGGTGGTTAACATTCTTATAAAAGGAAAGAAAAGTTTCTTTGTATAAGCGTGAAGGGTCATATGACATTTTTCAAGAACGTACTGTCAAATGATCCACAGGAAGTGGAAAAAATACATGTATTTAAATAGTGAACAGTAATTTTAAAAAGTCGTTATTTAGGATTCCGCCTTGAATATCAGACTCCTGGCTGCTCAAGATCTTACGAGTCAACAAACGGAAGAATTTTCAGTCCAAACTTCCCCAACACAATGAGGTAATTTTAGGGTATTTCCAGGTCACAAATTTGGATAACTATAGGATAATTCCAGATAATTTTAAGATAACCCTATAAAAGATAATTCGGTACTAGTACAAACGTCGGACGGTACAAACATAAGACTTACAAACGTCGGACAGTACAAACGTTGGACCGGGACAAACGTCGGACTACTACAAACGTCTGACTGGTACAAACGTCTGACAGCACAAACGACGGACTAAGGAAAAAAATTATTTGAATTAAAAGATTTTTTTCTTAAAGGTTATTTCCTTTTATCTACTGGTTAATGCAAATCTACCAAAAGTTACTGAGTTCTTGTCACTAACTCATTTATTCTCAACCCTTAAATTTTACAACCTGGTAATGGTATTAACCTTTAATACTTTCAAACTAAAACTGTTTGATCTTATAGATTTCATAGGTTGAAATATTAAAGGTTATACGAAAGATATATGCAAAGGTATAGGCATATTGAAACATCAGAGTTTGTGAAAATTGAACTCAACTCCTTTTTAGTCTGTTGTTTTATACAGTGCTACCTTCAAAGGGTGAGACTTTATTCAGTTGATTTTTATCACAATAAGTGAGTGATTTTTAATTTATATCTTATAGTAATGGTCTTTTTTTCAAACTCAACCAAAGTCCGACGTTTTTCTTAAAAATGTACCCGTCCGACGTTTGTACTAGTCTGACGTGTGTACTAGTCCGACGTTTGTACTAGTCTGACGTTTGTACTAGCCCGACGTTTGTACTAGTCTGACGTTTTTACTAGTCTGACGTTTGTACTAGTCTGACGTTTGTACTAGTCTGACGTTTGTACTAGTCTGACGTTTGTACTAGTCTGACGTTTGTAC